AATTTGGTAATTAATTATTAATAAAAGGTTATAAGGGTCAAAAAGCCATCATGTTTGCATTCCTATGTCAGCTCTGGTAGTACAACTTAAATGTTGGTGACAATTTCTCTTTGTAGTTCAGATTTCAGAATATATATATATATATATATATATATATATATATATATATATATATATGAGGTAATATCCTTTGACACCAGTGTCAAATTTGAAATTTGACACCTCATCTGAGAGCCGTTAGATTAAAAAAGATCAACGACTCTAATTTGTAAGCAGGTGACAACATTGATCTTTTTTTATCTAACGGGCTCTCAGATGAATTGTCAAACTTCAAATTTGACACTAGTGTCAAAGGATCCTACCTATATATATATATGGGTCAGGATCATTTTACACCAGTGTAAGTTACACTTTCAATCTTATCCGTTGATTCTATTTATATCTAACGGCTAAATTTTTTTAGAAATGTGAGCCATTAGATACAAGTGAATCAATGGTCAAGATTGAGTGTAAGACTTCTAACTCTTACACCGGTGTAAGAATATCCTGCCCCTATATATATATATATATATATATATATATATATATATATATATATATATATATATATATATATGCTCTAATTTTCTCATATGGCATCAAAATTATTTTTTGTTGTTCTGACTCAATCAGTAATAAAAATACTTCTTATGATGTATGAGAAATATTTTTGCATGTTGTGATTCTTCGATTTGCGTATTATTTTGTAATAAATATGGGGGCCATTACTAATTAAGTCAAAACATGAAAAAATAATTTTGATGCCATGTGAGAAAATTAAAACATATATATATATATATGATCATTTGACACTGATGTCAAACTTTAAAATTTGACACAAAATCTTAATTGTTAATTTTCGCTAATCAATGATTATTATTTATTGGAAATTATTAGTTAAATAATAAGTTTGATTCCCAATAAAGAGTTGTTGATTGGCGAAAATCGACGGTTAGAATTTGATGTCAAATTTTAAAATTTGACACCGATTTCAAAGGATCCTGCCCCATGTATGTATGTATGTATGAAAAATATTTTCTAATGTTGTATGAGAATTGTTTTTTTCTAGACACATTTTTTAATAGATGTGGGTCTCACACAAAATGTGTCTATAGCATGAAATTGTTTTCTCCTATTACATATGAGAAAATTAAAAGCCACACACACACATATATATAGGAAAACATATATAAATGTTATTTATATACTGAGCTTACATAGTTACACCCCTTTTCGAGGAACAAATATTTGGTGCTACTAGGGGTATAAATAAGTTGAGTTGAGCCGAGCCAAGCTTTAGCTTAAACGAGTCCAAACCCGACAAACAATTGAATCTCATCTCACATCACCATCATTCCCATCCTCAAATTGGAACAAAGAGGTTCACAATTAATATGCCCTGACAAAATCCAACGAAAGTAAAAAAAAAAAAAACTACCATTAGCACTACTACCAGACCTCATGCTACTCCAGGAAAATTTAGCACTTACTCGAAAGTCCATCAGCACCTTCATATGAGCAATTTGATATAAAAAATAAGATTAATGATTTAGTGACATAAAAATATATTATTATTATAATAATATATCGGGCCAGTTCACGAGCTTTCAAGTCAAGCCTCATTAAATTAGGCTTGGACTTATTTGTTAAACAAGCTTTTTTAAAAGCTTGAACCCGTTTTATTTATTCAATAAGATAGGCCAAGCCAAGCTTAAAGCAAGCCAAGTCTAGGACCCTTGACAAGCCGCTCAACTCATTTAGGGTGTGCATGATAACCATTCTGTTCCCTGACACTGTTTCTGAAAAGAAACAATTCTTTTCTATTTCTGTGCCTTGGAATAGTTTTTGAGAAAAAAATGTGTTTGATAACATATTCTATTTTTATTCCGAGAATGAGAATTGCGTTTGATAACACAACAAATAATATAATAAAAAATAATTTCTATTAAATATAAAAAAATTTGGATCATCACTTTCCTTTCCATATGATGTGGTGGTGGCGGCGGCGGCATAGTGGTTGTAATGGTGGTGGTGGCAACAGTGGTGGTAGTGATGGCGACGGTGATGGTAGTGGTGGTAGTGATGGCATGGTGGTGGAGGTAGTGGTGGTAGCTGCGGCGATGGTGGAGAAGGTAGTGGTGGCGGAGGCGGTGGCTACGTCGATGATGGCAATAGTGGTGGTGGTGGTGGTGGTGGCAACAACGGCAGTAGTTATAGTGGTGGCAATGATGGTGGTGGTTGGTGGTGGTTATGGAAATGGTTGGGGCGATGGTGGTGGTGGTTGGTGATGGTGGTGGTGATGGTGGCGGTAGTGGTAGTGGTGCGATGGTGGTGGTGGTGATGACAATGGCTGTGGCGGTGGTGGTGGTGGTTGGTGACGGTGGTGGTGATGGTGGCAGTAGTGGTGAAGATGGTAGTGGTAATGGCATGACAGTGGTGATAACAGTGGCTGCGATGTTGATGGTGGTGGAATTGGTGGTAGCGGCGCTGGTGGTAGCGGTGGCATGGTGATGGTGATGGAATGGCAGTGATGGTGACGACAGTGGCTACGGCGATGATAGTGGTGGTTGGTGACGGTGGTGGTGATGGTGATAGTGGAGGTGGTGGTGGTGGCGATGGCGATGACAGCAGTGGCTACAATGTTGGTGGTGGTGGTTGCAGTGGTAGTGTGATAGTGATGGTGGTGATGGGTGGAGGTGGTGGTGATGGTGACAGTGGCTTCGTGGTGGTTGTGTTGGTGGTAATAGTGACGACGACACTGGTGGTACGATGGTGGCGGTGGTCGTGTCGGGATGATGGTGGTGGTGATGATGATAGAGGTGAAGAGTGATTGAGAAACAAATGTTTCTGATTTTGTGCCCGGGAACAAAAAGCAGAAATTTTTTGATTCTTTTTTCTGTTCCCCACACAAAAATTAAATCGATTCATCCCGGGAACAAAAAAATAAACCAATTTTACCAAACGAGTTTTCTATCCATTCCTGTTTCCGGGAACAGAAATTAAAAAAAATTAATTTCGAGAAGGTTGTCATGCACACCCTTATGTGCTACGTCCCATTTTCTTAAAGTGGAAATTTTTTATCTAATTTAAACTAACACTTTCATCCTTATTCCCATCTAAGTCCTAATTTTAGACAGATATATGGTACTACCGTAGCACTAAAGATTTATTTTCTTTTTAATGCTTTTTTATTTTGGAAAAAAACAAAAAAGGCTCCACTCGCTTTCCATTCTCTCTCTCTCACTCACTCGCTCAAGAGGGTACTTTGATTAGTTGACCCTTAAAATACAAGAAAAAAAATATCCTCGGTTTAATTCTTTTGATAAACTATTACTAATTTAATGTGACTGAAATGCATATGAAAAGTGTGTGCATTCAAGTCACATATCACCCTATGTGCTATTTGTGCAAAAGTTAAAATGGGTATGATATATGTCATGTTCTGTAAGAAGCATATGTGGGTATGCGCGACTTGAACGCACATTACAAAGAGGCACGTCTTGTATCACACTAATTTTTGCACAAGCCATGTCTAGAGGTGATGCATATGACTTAAATTCGTACACTTGTCAAGCGTGTTTCACTTGCATTAGATGAGTAAATAGTATGTAAAAGGAATTAAATCGGTAGATATTTCATTTTTTTGCATTATTCAAGTGAAAATGCCCAAGATATTTTTTTGCCACAATGAATACCATTTCTTAAAAATTAGTTTTATATATATATATATATATATATATATATATATATATATATATATATTTCAAACCTTTAAGAAGAATATTTATGCAATGAGTGAATATAAATAATCGAATCTACTTAACGAAAAAAATTTGATTTGTCTGCACCCTATTAATGGATCCATCCTTGTTATCATGTTATTATAAAAGAACTTTCTCATTCGGTTATAATTTTTTTTCCCTGAAAATATCATTATTTTAAATTAAAATTTAGGGAAAAAAGTTTCCGATGTTACTTTAGATAACTTTATCTAATGTTCATCGAAACGACGTCGTTTTGGAGTTGAAAAATTAAAAAATTAGAGTGATAAAGACTATTATAACCCTGAAATAAATTAAAATTACAAAAATACCATGATTTCTGTCCCAAAACGACATCGTTTTGATGAACATTAGATAAAGTTATCTAAAGTAACATCAGAAAAAACAAACCCTAAAATTTAATATAAAAACTCAAAAGAATAATAAAATTATAAATATATCTTATTTTGCAATAGTAACGGTTTTCAAATACTCTTTAACTATCCATACCGTAGTATTTATTTTTCAATTGTGTCATTATAGTAAACTCTTTATATGACTTATGTTTTTAAATCTTAACTAAAAATAAAAAATGCAGATTGAGGAGTACTTAGTGCCCATCAATATGTTAGTGTAAATTGCATTAAGATAATTCAATTGAAGAAATTATTCTTTTGCATAAATCTTTTTGTACCGCTACTGGTGAAAATCTTATTCAGTGTAATCTAATATTTTAATTTTTTTTGTTAGTGTAATTATTTAAAATGATTATTTAACGATGTGTTATCATTTTGTTAAATGAATTCAATTATAATAACAAATAATTAAAATGTTAAATTGTTCTTAAAAAGTCTCTCCTGGTATATAATTCAACAATACTATAAGAAAAAAAGAAAAAAACTAACGGCAAATCAAATATCAACCTGTGATTCGTGTCATGACTCAACATGGTTTTAGATTTTATTTTAAGGCCTTTTTTTTTTTCTTTAGGTTTTTGTAAGTTGATTGTTTGCTATAATATCTCGGGTTAAGTGAGTGTCATGTTGCGGGACCAAAAAAAAGTCCTGTTTTATGTTAGAAGAATAACTTTTTTATTCCTAGAACACGACACTCACTTAACCCTAACATCTGCCTTGTGATTAGTGAGTGCTATAATTGGTAACCATTTTTTCTGCTTTGATCTTTGCTTGTGGCGTTTAGGTAAGATCATTAGTGGGAGATAGAATGGCTTTGGTGGTACAAACTTTATCAGCAGTAATAACAGCTTACACTATGGGTCTTGTCATTTCATGGAGACTTAACATTGTCATGATAGCAGTTCAGCCCATTATCATAGCATGCTTTTACATAAGGCGTGTCCTCTTCAAGAGCATGTCCAATAAGGCCATTATAGCCCAAGAACAAAGCAGCAAGTTAGCTGCTGAAGCTGTTTCAAATCTTCGAACCATAACTGCTTTCTCTTCTCAAGACAGAGTCCTCAAAATGCTTGAAAAGGCCCAAGATGGCCCAAGCCAAGAGAGCATTCGACAATCATGGTTCGCAGGTATTGCACTTGCATGTTCTCAATTTCTCACGTTATGTACTTGGGTCCTAAACTATTGGTATGGTGGCAAGCTTATCTCAAATGGGTACATCACAACAAAAGCATTGTTTGAGAGCTTGATGGTTGTTGTGAGCACAGGACGGGTCATTGGAGAGGCTGGAAGCATGACCATTGACCTTGCCAAAGGTGCTGATGTTGTGGGCTCAATTTTTGCAATCCTAGATAGGGACACAAAAATTGAGCCCGATGACCCAAATGGGTACAAGCCTGAGAAGTTAATGGGCCAAATTGAACTCTACGATGTTCATTTTGCATACCCAACTAGGCCTAATGTGATTATCTTCCAAGGCTTCTCAATTAAAATTAAGGCAGGGAAATCAACAGCATTGGTGGGGCAAAGTGGGTCAGGCAAATCAACCATCATAGGGTTAATAGAGAGATTCTATGACCCACTTAAAGGAATAGTGACAATAGATGGTAGAGACATAAAGTCATATAACCTAAAGTGGCTAAGGAAGAACATAGCACTAGTGGGTCAAGAGCCAACCTTGATTGGTGGAACTATTAGAGAGAACATTGCATATGGAGCATGTGATGACAAGATTGATGAGGCTGAGATCATAGAGGCAGCAAGGGCAGCAAATGCTCATGATTTCATAGCTAGCATGAAGGATGGGTATGAGACATGGTGTGGGGACAAAGGAGTACAACTTTCAGGGGGTCAAAAGCAAAGAATTGCAATAGCTAGAGCTATTTTGAAGAATCCCAAGGTGTTGTTGCTGGATGAGGCCACAAGTGCATTAGATAGTCAATCAGAGAAGGTGGTGCAAGATGCATTGGTGAGAGTAATGGTGGAGAGGACCAGTGTTGTGGTGGCACATAGGTTGAGCACCATACACAATTGTGATGTTATTGCTGTCTTAGATAAGGGGAAGGTGGTGGAGATAGGTAACCACTCATCTTTGTTGGCCAAAGGACCAAGGGGAGCTTATTACACTTTGGTAAGTATTCAAACCACACATGCAGCTACAGGCAACAACACTTCAACTAAAGACACGAATTCCATCAACTAACAAAGCCAACTTAGGAAGTTGTCTTTCTTACTGTGTTTTGTAATAATATGCCCAATGGCATCCATGCTTAAATAGTGCATGTATCTATGATAATAAAGTATCATTCTTGTGACAAATTGGCGTGAAAATTTCTTTTCACCTCCGTGGTTAAAATAATTACTAACTTAATTATTATTTGGTTAAATTAAAATGTTAGTCCCTACACTATTTACAAATTTTCGGTGCCTGTATCTTATAGGGTTTGTAATATTATGTTCTTAAAAGTTTAAAAAATTTAGTCCCTACTATTAAAAATTTATAGTAGTAATCTCACTACTAGAAAAGTCTTTTATATCGACGGAAAAAATTCCGTTGAAATTATTGATGAAATTTTCAACAGAATTTGTTTTCCGTCCAAAATTTCGACAGAAAATAGATTCCATCAAAAATATTTCGACGGAAAAATAAATTCCGTCGAAGAATTTCGACGGAAAAAGAATTCCGACGAAAACTTTAGAAAAAAGAAAAAGAAAAGAAATTAAATTGTGTGGAGTTTAATCTTTGACGGAATCGAAATTACGTCGAAAACTCCACACAATTTAATTTCTTTTTCTTTTTATTTTTTTCAATCGTTTTCGACGAAATTCCTTTTCTGTTGAAAATCTTCGACGGAATCGAAATTCCGTAAAAAAACTCCACACAATTTAATTTCTTTTTCTTTTTTCAAAAGTTTTCGACGAAATTCCTTTTTCGTCGAAATATTTCGAAGGAATCAAAATTCCGTCGAAATCTCCACATAATTTAATATATTTTTCTTTTTATTTTTTCAAAAGTTTTCGGCGAAATTTCTTTTCCGTCGAAAACTCCACACAATTTAATTTCTTTTTCTTTTCCTTTTTTCAAAAGTTTTCGACGGAATTCCTTTTCCGTCGAAATTCTTCGACGGAATCGAAATTCCGTCGAAAACTCCACACAATTTAATTTCTTTTTCTTTTTCTTTTTTCAAAAGTTTTCGACAGAATTCCTTTTCCGTCGAAATTCTTCGACGGAATCGAAATTCAATCGAAAACTCCACACATTTTAATTTCTTTTTCTTTTTTCAAAAGTTTTCGACGAATTGTGTGGAGTTTTCGACGGAATTTCGATTCCGTCGAAATAAAAAGAAAAAGAAATTAAATTTTTTGGACTTTTCGATGGAAAAGGAATTCCGTCGAAAACTATTGAAAAAATAAATGAAAAAGAAAATATATTTGTGTCTTTTCAACGGTTAGCAAAATCAAACCTATCGAACTCAGCTAGCTCTGGGACAACAAAACATTGCTAGTGCTCTATGTTGTCATTAGATGGATTGTGCCGATTACCAAGCCCATTTATGTCAGTGGCAATGTGTGGCCTGATAAGTCGCAAACAAACACCTTAAGTTGTCTTGAATTCTAGCATATATGGTTTGGGCCCAATAAGTCATAATGGGCCTAAGTTGGAAAAACGCACATATTGGGCCAAGAAAGAATAGGTGGCATCATGGGTCAATTTGAAATTTGAATTTAAATATAGTCATTAAATTAGATTTATTGAAGATGGAGAAAATAAAGGAAACCAATCAATTAGATTTATTGGAAACAAATCAATTGGTTTGATTGACCAAAATTAAGGAAACCAATTAATTAAATTAATTGGTTGAAATTTAGAAAACCAATCAATTGGATTGATCGGATAAAATTAAGGAAACCAATTAATTAAATTAATTAAATTAAATTGAATTAATTAAATCTTGATAAATTTTACTTGTCCAAATTAATTTAAAATTTTCAATATTACATATAAAAATAAGAATTACATATCAAATAAAAAAGAAATTATATTTTTGAATTTTCAAATAAAAAATGGAATATCATATTTCAAAATACATATTTAATTTATCTTAAATAATTTTTTTCTATTTTTTAAGGATATTTATAAAATGAAAAATTATAAAGATAATTTATAAATTAATTTCAAAATAAATAACTTAAAATATTATTTCATGTAAATTTTCATTATTAATTTCATTTGATGATATCCCGATGAGGCATAGAAGCACTTTATTTGTTTAAAAAAAATAGTATTAATTTTTAAATTTAACAAATATGATGTAATTGCATAGCCATAAGATAAACTTTTAAATTGTTTATTTTATTTTATATTATATGTTATATTTATTTTTTACCACACATATTATAATCATTAAAAAGGTTAGGATTTTTCACTCTTTGTTACTTTCCTTATAACACCTTGTGGTTCTAAATTATATATTAAAATATTAAACATGGATTAAATGGAAGGATTAGTGAAAATCCTGAAAATTATGTCAAAATAATACAAAGAGGGTAAAACGGTAATTAGCCAACACGCAACCCTAGGAAGATAAAAATTGAGTAGAAGGTCTCAGATGATAAAAGTAACCCTGAAAATGGATTCAAAACGAAAAATTGAGTGGTTAGGCAAGTTTAAGAAAATTCAGTGAATAGTGTTTTTATCGGGAAAAAATATCGTGGTACAGTTGCACCGTAAAGCGTGCCGATTGAGTTTTGAGCTCTAGGTTTTGGATACAAGTTATAAATGGTATATAGGACTAGGAAATATGATTTCTGATGAAAATTGATGGAAATTAGTAAGTTTGGGGAAGCATGCCAACGACGCACGTAACAGCTTAAAACAACATTTTCTCCGAACGACCGGAAAACTCCGGATTCATCTAATCAAGAGTAATTAAAGGACAATGGTTAATGCTAAAAATTAGAGTTTCTAAATAGGTTATAAAATTATGGATGTTTAGTGGAATCAGAGATAGTTTTAAATTAGTTTGAAATCGCGTAAGGTGGCGGTGCGCTCACCTCACTTAAGACACATGTGCATATGCACAATTCATCATCTCCCACCCTCACTCTCTCTCTCAAAACCGTGACTTTCTCTCTCCTCACATCATTTCTCTTTCAAAATTTCTTCTTCCATTACTCACTCCATACAACTCCGAATCAAGAAAAGTTTGTGAACAAAGTTGTTGCAAATCATCATCAAAACACAACCCACCGATTAGTTTTCCTTGAAACCCTCACATTTGAGAGATATGGGGCAAAACCAGCCACGAAAATTGAGAGGATTTTTGTGATTTTGGAGTTGTTTGCTTAAGCTATTGCTTGAAGATCACTTGGAGGAGTTTTGTGACTTGATTGTGGGTAAAATTCAACACCTTTCATGGATTGATTTGATGATTTAATTTCATGAAAACGTAGAGCTTGTATGCTTGATTTATGGAGTTAGAGAGCTTGTAATAGCCCGTTACGTACCGGTATTGTTAACATTAATTATGATATTAAGCGCAGTTACAATCACAGCAATCCATTTATAAAAATACGTATAAACTTTTTCCGATTATTACGCGAGCATTTAAAACAATAAAACGCGTAATAATTAAAGCTGTGACAATAACTGTTAACTCTTGCGGAATATTTATTTTATCTATTTTTACATCACAGTATACTTATTATAAGTTACTATGGGGTTCCCATAAACCCACTTAGCCAATTTTCAAACTTTACGTTTCTACCTATTCGAACATGGTTCACTCCTAATTTTTTTGCGACCACACTGCTCGCAACCAAACCTTCTTCTCAGATTATATCTTTGTCTTACTTAATTCCCTCTTCAACAAGCTATCACACGCTCAATTGGGAGCTCATTTGCTCCGGTTATCGCCGTTTGAAGTTGGATAAGCAAAATAGCCAACCAACCCCAAAACAACTCTAAACCTCTCTCACTCCACGAATTACTGCACTCAATCCACTCATTCAATTGCTCTAAAATTATTACACCATAAACTAGACACCTCAATCTTCGATTTGATATATCATACGCTTAATTTGACTGAGAAACGAAGCGGGAATTAATTTCCCAAAACTGGACCAGAACTGCCACAGAGCAGTTTGCGTTCCTCCAATTTTTTCAGGTCTAAGACCAACCCATATTTTTCCCAAATTTTGACACAAGGTAGAGGACATCTCAACCTTCAAAATGGCGTATGGCACGTCCCTATTGGACCTCTATAGAGGGAGATATGCTCTCCCGAAGTTCGCCTAAAATCTGCCAATTCTACAGAAAATTCGCCAGAGTTTCCTTTGTTTTTCCAATAATCCCAAATTTGTACAAGATCATTTAAGCCTCAAATGTACCTAATAATCACATGATAATACAGTAATAATCCAATGGGTGGCACACACAAGGACCAACAACACCTTGGGGCACTTACAACCCAATCCAGTTTATAGTTATTAGGCAGTTTATACTATAGAGCTCACATTATATTCCTTACTTGTTTCAATCACAAAGGTCCCATTTACATGTAGTTTCACAACATAAGCATATAACCATAACTCTAACATAGGCCTAAAATCCTTCCATCTTAGTACATCATGCATCTCTTTTACATTTACAACATATACTTAAATATTACAACTTACGACTTCAACTTCAAATTACCCTTTACAATATTACAACTCCAATTACAAATTTAAACATAAATTCAAATGATACAAACTACTAGACCTAGGCATGCCAACATGAACAATATGTCAAATACTGAAATGCTCATCTATCACTCTGCGGGCCTCTTGCCCGCTGCTCCAACGCCACAGGTAAATCCTGAAATAAATGCCCCGAGACGGGGTGAGATATACGAATATATCTCAGTAACCCAGAGGTTCTGGAGAAAACTCTGCCCAATGGTTCATTTCGATGCATATGAATAGAATACAACAACCAATTTTTTAAAACGGGATATAGCAAGGGTTTTAGAGAAATGGGGAATATAAAGATACAAACTACGACGATACGGGATGGTAACCCCAATTCCACGTACGCCCTGGGCATATATAAGCCTATGGGTATCATCCAAGGTGCATTCAAAAAAACCACAACCATGATGCCCCAACCATCCAAAACGCCAAAGACATTCCTAGTGTGCTCCTACCCGGATCACACACCATGACCCACGGTCAACTGGAACTCCCTCCTGGAGATCTATCCAGTGGAAGTCCGAAACTGCCGGATGGCTAAGAAAAACTGTCTACTGGCCAGAGACTCGGTACATAAGTACCCATTGTAATAATGCATGCATGCTCATGTGTCCTACACTACTCATATACACTTCCTACCGTTATCATCAACTGGCAAGGTGGAACAGAAAAGGGGAACAAGCCCCAGTATCAAGAGGTTACCTTAAATATTGTTTTCACAAGCTCCGCAGCAGCTTATCCCTCAACTTGGTACACATCAGAATGCCTACACAGAGGACATTCCCAATCACTCATAATTCAAACAATACATGCTAATTTACAATTATACATGCATTGAACCAATTACTTACCTCAATCCACTTGGTCCAGGACCAAGGGCAACTCCCAGATTCAAGTTTCGGGATTCAAGTCAACGTACGGCAACCTATACAATCACGTACATCCATTAGTACGCGTCAAATAGCATCAAAACGCAAAATCACGAAATCACCCCACCCACACTTGGTAGGTTCGGCCATCCTAGGCTTATTTTCAGATTTATTTTTCTAAGTTTTCTTTCTCATTTTATTACGCCTCAATAGGTTGCCAAGAGGCTAGTTCAATCGTCATTTTTCCGTTTTACGACATTTACGCATCGTTTTGCGAAATATTTCACTCTAGGTTCTTTATGCCAACTAAGCCACTTATTATTTTTGCATTGATTCTTCCACTTGCCAATCACCACACAACCCATCTAATTACCTTTTTAACACATAATTCATCACCCAAACAATTTCCAACAACATCAAATCCATAATTTTCCTTTAAAGGCCAAGTTGCAACCTATGGCAATTCTAGGATTTCCATTCACTTTTAATCACTCCACACCTCACACAACCACATTATATCATCATATAATCATACCACAATTCATCAAACAATGTCTCAACACAAAATTCCAAAGTCCCAAAATCATGACCTCAAATCCACTAAGTTAAAAATCATCACATTTCACTTAAAATTTTCATTGCATTTCTAGCATTAATACATCATTCTAAGGCATTATCATCTAATAGACATTTTCCATTTGAGCTCTCTAACATCACATATCAACCATGCAAGGTCTAGGGTTCAAGATTCAAATCATCACATTCAATCAATTAAAATGCAAGAACACTCACCCAAATGGAAGGTACAAGACTCCTCCTAAACATACTCCACCATTAGAGCACCTAGAAGCTCCATGAACACAAATCTCCAAGCTTGAGTCGCGGCCTTGAGGAGGGATTTTCGCAAAATATAGCTGGATTCAAGGCTTGCCACTAGTGCCAATGTGTTTAGAAGGTCATTTCCAACAAATTTCAACACAAGAATCACTTGTATAGTATTATAGCATTGCATAAGCTCAAGTCATACACATCATCAAATGCATAAATGAATCTTGAACTAACAAGTCAAACATGCATCTAAAGGTTTTTCAAATGACTTAAGCAAAAAAAAAAAAGAGAATCATGGCATTATAACAGTTACATATTCATGGCCTTATACATCCGTCAAGAAAAGTCAAATCAAGTGGTTTAAATCGTTCAAAATTGGTTTGGAAAGAGTACTTACATAAAATATACTTTTCTAGTTAATTTCCATAACCAATCATATGCTTTACAAGTCATAGAAACCATATTGAAAGAAAGGAATTTTCGAAAATGTGTAAAAAGGTCACTGCCATGAAATATCCGGATATCTGACCAAGAATATCCGGATATCTGATACTGAAAATCCGGATATCACATATCCGGTTACGTGCGCGATGAATATCCGAATATCTACTGTTTAAACGGCTATAAACGGCTATAATCACATATCCGGATATGTGTTCGATAAATATTCGGATATCTACTGTTTTAAACGGCTATAAACGGCTAGTTTTCCAACGGCTAGTTTTCCAACGGTTATAAACGGCTAGTTTTCGAATTGGGTGCCTATATAAACCCCCCTAACATCTCAAATACATATAATTTGGTCATTGATCATTTACCAAGTCTTTATCACTCATTCTAGCTTGCTTTTGCTCACATATTACTCATTTTGATCATTGCATAGACTTGAGCTTATCTTTGTTGTTAGGCTATACACCTACTAGTTCTTCAATTTGTAATATCTGTACTTTGAGAGTACATATCCACTCTTTATCACCTTCATCTTACTTCTTGAATCAAAAGGGGAGTGAACCCTTGTGTTGGTCTGCCAAGAGACAGAAGTCTTGGAAAGGGGAGTGAACCCTTGTTAGTCTGCCAAGAGACAGAAGTCTTGGAAAGGGGAGTGAACCCTTGTTAGTCTACCAAGAGACAGAAGTCTTGGGAATTTGTAAAGGTTTGTCAAGCACCCGTGAAGCTTGACCGTTAGTGAAAGATTTGATCGAGCGACTTCAGTCTGGACGTAGGTCACAGTGGTAGTGACCGAACTAGGATATATCAAGTTTGCAAATCTCTCTATCCCTTATCTCTTGCATAAGCATTGATTAATTATTTGAACATATTTAAATTCATATCTCATCAAATATTTACCTGATCTATTTTTCTGTTATTTAGTCACTACACGCTGTAAATTATTTAAATTAAATAAATTAGCTTTTCATATGTCAAAGTGTACTTGAAATGATTATTTAGAAACTAGAAGGGGGCTTTTGCGAAAATTTTTGTAATACTCAATTCACCCCCCTCTTGAGTATGGAAGCCACATTCCTAACAAGTGGTATCAGAGCTTAATGCTCTATTAGAGGTTTAACCACCTAGAGTTAAATATCCTTGTTGGGGCTTCCAATATAATTTTTTTTTTAAAATAAAAATAAAAAAATGGAAGGCTTTGAATGTGATAAACCACTATTCTTTGATGGTGAGGATTTTGAATATTGGATGAAAAGAATGGAAGTTTTTATTCAATCAATTCATCTTTACATGTGGCATGCTGTAAATGAAGGTTTTTCTTTGAAAATAGAAGAATGCATGAATGATTTCAGTAAAAGATGTTTTGTCTTCAATCTTAAGGCTATGCAAATGCTTAGAAAAAGTGTATATGATGATGCATATGCTAAGATTAAACATTGCATAAATGCTAAAGATATATGAGATACTCTTATTGCTATCTATCTTGTCAATGATGATTATGTGCATGAAGATGCATATAGAGAGCAAGAATTGCAAAATCCATTGGAAGAAGAAGAAGATGATAACGATCAAAGAAGCTCAAAACCTCTTTGTGGCAATGATAACATTCAAGTTGATGTAAATAATATAAACCTTGATTATATTCCTTCACATGATAATTTGCAATGTGCGTATGATGATTTGAATGATAGCTTGTTGAACTTGAAAAATAGAAATTTGGTTTCAATACAAAGTATTTGCTTCATTGAAAATCAAATTGAATCTTTGAAAAATATATATGATTTTCAAGAAGAGAACATATCCTTGAACTATGAATCCTCAACCATTCTTAAAAATTGCATTGATGTTGATAATCAAGTTGAGGAACTATCATCTAAACTTTCCATAATTGATAATCCTACATGCTCATATTCCATTTTTGAAAATGAAAATAATAATGATACTTTTGTACATGGAAAACCTATAAATGATTGTGGAAATAATAGTTTGGATAATGATAATAGCAAGAAAGCCAAAAATTTGAAAGTTGAGCTTAAAAAGAACAAGTTATCTTGCAAACACATTGTATGTAATTATTGTGGTAAAGTAGGACATATTTCTCATTTGTGCTATCATAGAAGAAATTCTTGTATGAGAAATAAATCGGTTTGGGTTGTCAAAAATTCTATGAATGTTATTCCTAACCCTCAAGGACCCAAGATGAAATGGGTACCAAAAAGTCCTCCTAGCTTTTCCAATGTGCAGAAAATTATTCGAAATGATGGACTAAAAGGTCAAGAGAAAAAGAAATCATCAAGGAAAATGCTTCCTAGGCCTAATGATGGAATTATCAATCAAAGAAGTAATGGAACTTCAGTCAAAGCTTCTCACATGCACAAGATGGAACCCAGAAGGTTCAAAATCCAAAAAGAGAAGCAATGGATAAGAAAAAGTCTCCACTTGATTACAAAGGCCAAGGTATCAAATATCTTTACCTCTTATGCTTATTCATATGCGAATCCAATGAATATGAGGTATATATCCTTTAGGCCTTAGGTAATGGATAAAACCATATGTGCTAGGTTTGAATGTTGAAAATTATGAATGGCACATGATTATATCTATAGTTGTTCACTTATATGTTGCTTTCTGACATAGCTGAATTGTTTTACACATATCTTGAGTTACAGAAATTGTTTTTAAGTGAAACCAGCGGTCATTGAAAGATATCTTGATAAACTTTAGTTCTGGAAATTTTCATATTTTTTAGTCAAGTATAATGCTCCTAGAAATCTCGTGAACATGACTGTTCTGTCATAAACTCTGTTCTTGACTAGTTTACTTAAAATGAGCATAACTTGAGCTATACAAATCCTTTGAGCATGAAAACAAAGGCATTACAAAGATAGCTCAATCAATTTTAATACTGAAAATTTTTAGAATTTTTAGATGTGTACATTATTCCAGTAAATTCGTGATTGTGACTGTTATGTTAAATTCTCTATTTCTAGTGTAGTAAATTTAACTGATCATATCTTGAGCTATAGAACTCCGATTGACATGATATATATCTTGTTAGAAAGCTTGAGATGTGTACTATAACATATCCAAAATTCAGAATTTTTGAAGTACTGATTAATTCCCACTTTTAATTACAAGATTACGAGTTTTTGAAAAAGAAACTGTGAAAATGTTATTGACTTTGAGCCTAGTGCTAAATTGATTATTTAACTTATTATGCTCAATTTGTGTGTGATATTATTGATCTTTATGAGAGCATAATAAATTGATGATCAATGACTAACCCTTATGGATCTAAAGCGGATACCAAAAGTGCTTTGAATTATAGGATTACAACTATGTCAAGAATGTATTCAAATGAAATAAGTTTATTCAACTTGAGGCTTGAAAAGCATGAAAGTATCCAACATCTAAGAAGAGATGCAAGCATGATAAAGTACAAGGATATTCATGATAATCTCAAGGAGCCATATTCTAAATTGAAAGAATTCAAATTCGGTCATTTCTATCCCTCTTTGTGCTCTAAATGCTATATACATGATAATTAGGGAATTCTTTGATATTTAGTTGATATATTCTATTGATTGTGTTATTTTAGCAATAGGCCCTAATTGTTATTATATATGCTAGTAGGCACATGTATTTGTTACAATAGCATGATAATCTTTTTTGAGATTGACCTTTAGAGTATATCCTTGTTTTTACTTGGAGTTATACATGCACAAAAATAATTTGACTTCTTTTTTATGTGCTTAAATGTATCACATGCTTACTTGAAGGTTAGTAAATTAAATATCTTCTTGTATTAATTGCTTGACATATGTTATACACTTAAAACAAGAAAAATGTGTGTAAAATGCTAATTCCATGATCTTTCAAGTATTAGTTTTTGAAAAGAAGTTGTATCATTTGGATTGGCATGTGATTGTGTTTAAAACTGCTCATATATAATAACATGACTTATATGATCATTACTTGCTTCAAAATGTCCCAATATGTTTTGATGATGGTCATATATTTCTTGCTAATCTTGAATCATGCTTTGACTATGCTTAAATATATATTTTAAGATGCAAGAGCATATGTGCTTCATTTATGTTTGAATATATATTTATGATTGATAATATGATAAATGGCTTATGTTGTACATCAATCTAATTTATGCTTGGAGATGTGCTTAAATAATATTTGTTGCTAACCTTTGATTTGAAAAGCTTTAAGAGTTAATTCTTCAATTGGTAATCAAATATGGCAACCAAATATTGAAGTGCCAAGCATATGTGGACAAAAAAAAAAGAGATGAATGAAGAGCACCAAAAGAGACTTTCTTCACTTGCTCACAAATGGAAAACTCAAAGGAAGAAAGCTCCTAAGATCACCATGCATAAGGAGCGTCACATCATATTTGATCTCGATAAGTATCACTATCTCTTACTCTTATGAAATTCTATAGTATGGATAATATGATACTTGCTCCTTCCTTACATGAGATGGAACTTTAATCAATAATCATCTTGCTTCTAAA